TCCTCCTTTCTCCCGTCTCTCCTTCCTTCCTTCTACCATCCCTCCCTCTCTCCCCAACCCTCCCTCACTCCTTTTTCCCATCTCCTTCCTTCCTTCCTACCATCCTCCCTCTCTCCTACCGTCCTTCCTCACTCCTCTCTCCCGTCTTTCTTCCTTCCTTCCTACCATCCCTCCCTCTCTCCTACCGTCTCTTTCATCCTGCAAATCATCCCCTCCTCCGTCACTGCTACCGTCACTCGCCCACTCAACATAATAGAAGCATTATCTTAAGAAGGTCTCCCCCCTCAGCCTGTCCACTCACATGCCTCCACGAATCATCAGTTAAGGGAAAAAGTTAACCTGGGAACCTTTGAGAATCCAATTTATGCTGTCGCTTAAATGGGGTCAGTTAGAAGCGACTTTTGAGGGAGTTTTAACGTAAGAGCCTTTGAGGAGTATTTGTGACGTGGTTTAAAGGTAGTTATGTGCGTTGTGTAGTTAGGGTAAGAGTTTTAACGTAAGAGTCTTTGAGATATATTTATGCCGTGGTTCAAAGTAAGTTTTATGCGTTCTCAGTCTTAGGGAAAATTTATAATGTAGAAGAGTTTAGAGAATCCAAGCCCTCTGTCGTAAGTTAAAGTAAGTGAGTTAGATACGTTCTCTTATCTCTAGTGAAGGAGGAAGGTTTAGTTTGAGACAGTTTAAGAATCCAATTTTGTCTCGTAACATAAAAGTGAGTCAGTCAGATAAGGTTCTAACATCACCATTTAATTGAAACTTTTAAAACTTTAGGGGGAAATTTATTTGGTATCTAAACTTAAAAGTAACAAAAGAAATAAAATTAACAACAACAGTTAATGAGGAAATTTAACTTTGAGAATTCATTTTTTTTATCACTTAACTTAAACTGAGTTACAAACGTTCACACATCTGTAGTCAATCTAATAAGTTAAAGTGGAGCTGTTAGAGGCCTTCTCACACCTCCAATTAAGGGGAACTTTAACACAGACAGGTAAGTGAGACACGGCGGGGAGGGAGAGGGTCCAGTGCTATAAATATCATAGTGGAGGCAGCCTTTTGCACACACACACACACACACACACACACACACACACACACACACACACACACACACACACACACACACGTGACGCTGCTCAGGGAATCAATATTGTGTACCTGTGTGTGTGTGTGTGTGTGTGTGTGTGTTAAAAATCATAATTTACGCCTACACACACACACATACACGGTATTTTTAGGGTCGACTAGTCACACAATGAATGATCGGCTCGACAATCCAACCACAACCAGACCAGCCATACCTAGCAAACCATACCACCTGTTGCATTTACCAGCCTGTAGACCAGCCATACTAACCAAACCCATACCACCTGCCCATTACCAGCCACAACCAGACCAACCATACCTAGCAAACCATACCACCTGTTACGTACCAACCACAGCCAGACCAACCATACCTAGCAAACCATACCTGTTACATGCAACCACAACCAGACCAGCCATACTAGCAACCATACCACCTGTTACATTACCAACCACAACCAGACCAACCGCTAGCAAACCATACCCACCTGTTGCATTGCCAACACAGCCAGACCAACCATACCTAACCAAACCATACCTGTTACATTACCAACCACAGCAGACCAACCATGCCTAGCAAGCCATACCTGTTGCATTACCAGCCACAGCCAGACCAGCCATACCCTAGCAAGCCATACCACCTGTTACATTACCAACCACAACCAGACCAACCATACCTAACCTGTCCCACTGCCTCAGGTCTAGACACACACACAGACAGTTCATTAAAACACTGTGGATGGAGTTAATTACATGGAGGTAATTAACTTTATTAACGGATTAGGACAGGAGAAAAATGAGCGTTAATGAAGACTAATTAGTTCAATTATATATCTTTCGTAAAATGAGTAATTAGTTTTAATGTGAATGATATATATACTGTATCCTAATTACCATATTTTACCCTAATTATTGTGTTTTACCCTAATTACACTACGTTATGTTAAAGCCTCAGTTTAGTAAGAGTGAGTACAGCTCCCTTCTTCCGCCTGCCAGATGAGGGTTAAAACAATGTCGTCAAAACTGCACTGAGACTGTACCCTAATGACCTAACGTACACACACACACACACACACACACACACACTAAAACAGTATCTTCACGGTGAGATGCGATGAATTCCAGAATGAACACTCCGACTCCTGTTATCTCGGTAGTGTTGTCAAAATCCTTCGTTCGTTGAGTCATATTGTCTCACACAGAATCATAAAGGTACAGTTAATTTACCAAAGTCCGTGTTCGTCTCTCCTCCTGAACCACGAACCCCGAGATTCTCAAGAGTCTTAGCATTTATGGATAGAATATTGTAACACTCTTCTGCTTCGGGTTCACTCGTCTGAATCTCGGGGGTTTGTGGTTTCAGGAGAAGTGAATGAACTGACTTTAATAATTGACTGTATGTTTTCTTATACAATCATTAAAATACTTATATAACATTAATTTATAACCCGTAGAACAGGTGTCTCATAGGCGTGTGGGAGAGTCGAGGAGATAACATATTAGGCACTGCACTCGACAGCCTCCATTTCCTACACTGTAAAATCAGGTACCCATATAATAGGCCTTTCCTAAAATACAAAAAATAAAAATAAAAATATAAATTGAAACTCACAAAAAATCTAAATCCGTCCATGAAAAATAAAAATACGTCAGAATATAATGGGTTTAATCTCTGTATATTGTAGTGCAGCCATTTTGATAAACACACGATCATTCATTATTCACTAAATGGTTTAATTCATTCTCGCCGGGTCATTTAATATAACTTATGATGATTAGTTGTTAGTTAATTATCACAAGAGTAGTTAATACAGGGAGGCGTCCTGAGGTCACGACCCCAAGCTTGGCCAATCACGGAGAGTCTGTCTCGGGGTTTTGAGAGAGAGAGAGAGAAGCAGAAAGGCAGGAAGGGCAGAAGGGGGGCGGACGGACGGACGGACGGACGGACACACACACACACACACACACACCAATACGTTTTGTGTTCATAATAAACCCTGATTCTTAGTGTAACGGACCATTCTTATTACTAAACCAGCTTCTTGTGTTTGAGGTGTGTGTGTGTGTGTGTGTGTGTGTGTGTGTGTGTGTGGGTGTGTGTGTGTGTGTCTATCCGACTCCTGTTCCAGGATTAACCACCATCCTCCTTTTAATCTTTCGAATAGGGAAAATTATATCGAGTTTATAATACAGCGACCCAAAACTAAACTAACCTAACCTAACATAAACTAAACTCAACACTACTAACCTAACCTAACCTAAACTAATCTAACCTAACCTAACGTCAACTAAACATCTTCCAATAGGTTGTCACATCACCCAATAACAACTAAACTGTTATTCATCCACCTTGTATTTTTCCATTTGTTTAAACCTGTCAATAGCTGAGGTGTAAGATCAAACCAATGTTGTTATGATGAGACCTCCACCACCGAGCCTTGTCCCCCACCGAGGCCTCCCCACAGCTCCCCACCCTTGTCCCCGCCACCGGCCTTGCCCCCACCGAGCCTTGTCCCCCCACCGAGGCCTTGTCCCCAGGCCTTTTCCCCCACAGTAGGCCTTGTCCCCCACCGAGGCCTTGTCCCCCACAGGCCTTGTCCCCCACCGAGGCCTTGTCCCCACCAGGCCTTGTCCCCCCCCCACGGCCTTGTCCCCCACCGAGGCCTTGCCCCCCACTGAGGCCTTTTCCCCACCGAGGCCTGTCCCCAGCAGGCCTTGTCCCCCACCGAGGCCTTGTCCCCACCGGGCCTTGTCCCCACTGAGGCCTTGTCCCAGGCCTTGTCCCCCACCGAGGCCTTGTCCCCCCCACCGGGCCTTGTCCCCCACCGAGGCCTTGTCCCCACCGAGGCCTTGTCCCCCACTGAGGCCTTGTCACCAGGCCTTGTCCCCACCGAGGCCTTGTGTCCCCACCAGGCCTTGTCCCCCACCGAGGCCTTGTCCCCCCACCGAGGCCTTGTCCCCCCACCAGGCCTTGTCCCCCACCGGGCTTGGCCTGCTTGTCCCCACCGAGGCCTTGTCCCCCACCAGGCCTTGTCCCCCACCGAGGCCTTGTCCCCCGAGCTTGTCCCCACCGAGGCTTGTCCCCCACCGGGCTTGTCCCCACCAGGCCTTGTCCCACCGGCCTCCCCCGCTTGTCCCCACCGGGCCTTGTCCCCACCGAGGCCTTGTCCCCACCGAGCCTTGTCCCCACCGAGTCTTGTTCCCCACGAGGCCTTGTGTCCCCACCGAGCCTTGTCCCCACCGAGCCTTGTCCCCCACCGAGCCTTGTCCCCACCCCCCGGCCTTGTCCCCCCACCGGGCCTTGTCCCCCACCGAGGCCTTGTGTCCCCACCGAGGCCTTGTCCCCACAGCTTGTCCCCACGGGCCTTGTCCCCCCCACCGAGCCTTGTCCCCACCGAGGCCTTGTCCCCACCGGGCCTTGTCCCCACCGAGGCCTTGTCCCCCACCGAGTCTTGTCCCCACCGAGGCCTTGTCCCCACCGAGGGCCTTGTCCCCCACCGCTACCGAGGCCTTGTCACCGAGGCCTTGACCCCCACTGAGGCCTTGTCCCCACCGAGGCCTTGTCCCCACCGGGCCTTGTCCCCATGCTTGTCCCCCACCGAGGCCTTGTCCCCCACCGAGGCCTTGTCCCCCACCGGGCCTTGTCCCCACCGAGGCCTTGTGTCCCCACCGAGGTCTTGTCCCCACAGAGGCCTTGTCTGTCCCCCACCGAGGCCTTGTCCCCCACCAGGCCTTGTCCCCACCGAGGCCTTGTCCCCACCGAGTCTTGTCCCCCACCGAGGCCTTGTCCCCACCGCTCCCCGAGGCCTTGTCCCCACCGAGGCCTTGTTCCGAGGCCTTGTCCCCACGAGGTCTTGTCCCCACCGAGGCCTTGTCCCCCCCCACAGGCCTTGTCCCCACCGAGCCTTGTCCCCCACCGAGGTCTTGTCCCCACGAGGCCTTGTCCCCCACCGAGGCCTTGTCCCCCACCGAGGCCTTGTCACCACGGCCTTGTCCCCACCAGGCCTTGTCCCCCACCGAGGCCTTGTCCCCACCAGGCTTGTCCCACCAGGCCTTGTCCCCCACCAGGCCTTGTCCCCCACCGAGGCCTTGTCCCCACCGAGCCTTGTCCCCACTGAGGCCTTGTCCCCACAGAGCCTTGTCCCCCGAGGCCTTGTCCCCCCACCGAGGCCTTGTCCCCACCAGGCCTTGTCCCGAGCCTTGTCCCCACCGGGCTGTGTCCCCACCGAGCCTTGTCCCCACCGGGCCTTCACTGAGCCTTGCCTCCCCACCGAGGCCTTGTCCCCCCACCGAGGCCTTGTCCCCACCGAGGCCTTGTCCCCACCGGGCCTTGTCCCCACCCCACCGAGGCCTTGTCCCCCACCGAGGCCTTGTCCCCTGGTCTTGTCCCTGTCCCCCACCGAGGCCTTGTCCCCACCGGGCCTTGTCCCCACCGGGCCTTGTCCCCCACCGGTCTTGCCTGTCCCCACCGAGGCCTTGTCCCCACAGGCCTTGTCCCCACCGAGGCCTTGTCCCCACCGAGCCTTGTCCCCCACGAGGCCTTGTCCCCACCGAGCCTTGTCCACCACCGAGGCCTTGTCCCCACAGTCTGTCCCCCACCGAGGCCTTGTCCCCACCACGAGGCCTTCACAGGCCTTGTCCCACAGGCCTTGTCCCCACCGAGGCCTTGTCCCCCACCAGGCCTTGTCACCACGAGGCCTTGTCCCCCACGAGGCCTTGTCCCCACACCGGCCTTGTCCCCACCGAGGCCTTGTCCCCCACCGAGGCCTTGTCCCCCAAGGGCCTTGTCCCCCACGAGGCCTTGTCCCCCCCAGGCCTTGTCACCACCGAGGCCTTGTCCCCCACCGAGCCTTGTCCCCACCGAGGCCTTGTCCCCCACCGAGGCCTTGTCCCCCACCGAGCTTGTCCCCGAGGCCTTGCCCCGTCCCCACCTTGTCCCCACCGAGGCCTTGTCACCCCGGGCCTTGTCCCCACCGAGGCCTTGTCCCCACCAGGCCTTGTCCCCCACCGAGGCCTTGTCCCCACGAGGCCTTGTCCCCCACCCGAGGCCTTGTCCCCCCACCGGGCCTTGTCCCCCACCGAGGCCTTGTCCCCCACCGAGCCTTGTCCCCCACCGAGGCCTTGTCCCCCACCGAGGCCTTGTCCCCACCGAGGCCTTGTCCCCACAGCTTGAGGGCCTTGTCCCCACCGAGGTCTTGTCCCCACCGAGGCCTTGTCCCCCACCGAGGCCTTGTCCCCACCGAGGCCTGTCCCCCCACCGAGGCCTTGTCCCCCACCGAGGCCTTGTCCCCCACCGGGCCTTGTCCCCGAGACCTTGTCCCCCACCGAGGCCTTGTCCCCACCGGTCTTGTCCCCACCGAGGCCTTGTCCCACCGAGGCCTTGTCCCCACGAGGCCTTGTCCCCACCGAGGTCTTGTCCCCCACCGAGTCTTGTCCCCGAGGCCTTGTCCCCACCGAGGCCTTGTCCCCACCGAGGCCTTGTCCCCACAGAGCCTTGTCCCCCACCGAGGCCTTGTCACCACCGAGGCCTTGTCCCCCACCGAGGCCTTGTCCCCACCGGACCTTGCCACCACAGGGCTGTCCCCACCGAGGCCTTGTCCCACACCGGGCCTTGTCCCACCACGAGGCCTTGTCACCACCGAGGCCTTGTCCCCCCACCGAGGCCTTGTCCCCCACCGAGGCCTTGTCCCCCACCAGAGGCCTTGTCCCCACCGAGGCCTTGTCCCCACCGAGGCCTTGTCACCACCAGGCCTTGTCCCCCACCGGCCTTGTCCCCACCGAGGCCTTGTCCCCACGAGCCTTGTCCACCGAGGTCTTGTCCCCACGAGGCCTTGTCCCCCACGAGGCCTTGTCCCCCACCGAGGCCTTGTCACCCAGGCCTTGCCCCCCACTGAGGCTTGTCCCCACCCAGAGCCTTGTCCCCCACCGGGGCCTTGTCCCCACCGAGGGCCTTGTCCCCCACCGAGGCCTTGTCCCCACCGAGGCCTTGTCCCCCACCGAGGGCCTTGTCCCCCACCCGAGGTCTGTCCCCACCGAGGTCTTGTCCCGCCTTGTCCCCACCGAGGCCTTGTCCCCATCGAGTCTGTCCCCCACCGGGTCTTGTCACCGTTTGTCCCCACCGAGGCCTTGTCCCCACCGAGTGTCCCGGTCTTGTCCCCACCGAGGCCTTGTCCCCCACCGGGCCTTGTCCCCCACCAGGCCTTGTCCCCACCGAGGCCTTGTCCACCACCGAGGCCTTGTCCCCCCACCGAGGCCTTGTCCACCACCAGGCCTTGTCCCCCACCGAGGCCTTGTCCCCCCACCAGGCCTTGTCCCCACCGAGGCCTTGTCCCCAACATTCCCCCACCGAGGCCTTGTCCCCACCGAGGCCTTGTCCCCACAGGCCTTGTCCCCACGAGGCCTTGTCCCCACCGAGGCCTTGTCCCCACCGAGGCCTTGCCCACCGGGCCTTGTCCCCCACCGAGGCCTTGTCCCCGAGCCTGTCCCCACCGAGGCCTTGTCCCCACCGAGGCCTTGTCCCCACCGAGGCCTTGTCCCCCACAGAGGCCTTGCCCCCACTGAGGCCTTGTCCCCACCCGAGGCCTTGTCCCCACGAGGCCTTGTCCCCACCGAGGCCTTGTCCCCCCACCAGAGGCCTTGTCCCCCCACCGAGGCCTTGTCCCCACCGAGGCCTTGTCCCCACCGAGGCCTTGTCCCCCACAGGCCTTGTCCCCCCCACGAGGCCTTGTCCCCACCCGAGGCCTTGTCCCCACCGAGGTCTTGTCCCCACCGAGGCCTTGTCCCCACACCGAGGCCTTGTCCCCACCGAGGCCTTGTCCCCACCGGCCTTGTCCCCCACCGGCCTTGTCCCCACCGAGCTTGTCCCCACAGGCCTTGTCCCACCCCACCGAGGCCTTGTCCCCACCGAGGCCTTGTCCCCACCGAGGCCTGTCCCCACAGGCTTGTCCCCACAGGCCTTGTCCCCCACCAGGCCTTGTCCCCCACCGAGGCCTTTGTCCCCACCAGGCCTTGTCCCCACCGAGGCCTTGTCCCCCACCGAGGCCTTGTCCCCCACAGGCCTTGTCCCCCACCGAGGGCCTTGTCCCCACCGAGGCCTTGTCCCCACCGGCCTTGGTTCCCACCGGGCTGTCCACAGCCTTGTCCCCACCCCCACCGCCTTGTCCCCCACCGTGTCCCCCACCAGCCTTGTCCCCAGGCCTTCCCCACGAGCCTTTGTCCCCACCGACCTTCCCCCACGAGGCCTTGTCCCCACCGAGGCCTTGTCCCCACCACCTTCCCCCGAGGCCTTGTCCCCACCGAGGCCTGTCCCCCCACCAGGCCTCCCCACCGAGGCCTTGTCCCCACCGAGGCCTTGTCCCCCCGGCCTTGTCCCCACGAGGCCTTGTCCCCCCCCGAGGCCTTGTCCCCACCGAGGGCCTTGTCCCCCACCGAGGCCTTGTCCCCACACAGGCCTTGTCCCCCCACCGAGGCCTTGTCCCCCACTGAGGCCTTTCACCGGGCCTTGTCCCCCACCGAGCCTTGTCCCCACCGAGGCCTTGTCCCCCACCGAGGCCTTGTCCCCACAGGCCTTGTCTCCACCGAGGCCTTGTCCCCCACCGAGGCCTTGTCCCACCGAGACCTTGTCCCCCACAGCCTTGTCCCCCACCGAGCCTTGTCCCCACCGAGCCTTGTCCCCACCGAGGCCTTGTCCCCACCGAGGCCTTGTCCCCCCACCGAGCCTTGTCCACCACCGGGCCTTGTCCCCCACCGAGGCCTTTGTCCCCCACCGAGGCCTTGTCCCCCACCGAGGCCTTGTCCCCCACCGAGGCCTTGTCCCCCACTGAGGCCTTGTCCCACTGAGGCCTGTCCCCACCGAGGCCTTGTCCCCCACCGAGGCCTTGTCCCCACTGAGGCCTTGTCCCCCACGAGGCCTTGTCCCCCACTGAGGCCTTGTCCCCCACTGAGGCCTTGTCCCCCACCGAGGCCTTGTCCCCACCAGGCCTTGTCCCACCAGGCCTTGTCCCCACCGAGGCCTTGTCCCCACGGCCTGTCCCCCACTCCCCCACCGAGGCCTTGTCCCCCACCGAGGCCTTGTCCCCCACCGAGGCCTTGTCCCCCACCCCAGGCTTGTCCCCCACCGAGGCCTTGTCCCCACCGAGGCCTTGTCCCCACGAGGCCTTGTCCCCCCACCGAGGCCTTGTCCCCCACCGAGGCCTTGTCCCCCACCGAGGCCTTGTCCCCACCGAGGCCTTGTCCCACCGAGGCCTTGTCCCCCACCGAGGCCTTGTCCCCACCGAGGCCTTGTCCCCCACCGAGGCCTTGTCCCCCACCGAGGCCTTGTCCCACCGAGGCCTGTCCCCCACTGAGGCCTTGTCCCCCACCGAGGCCTTGTCCCCCACCGAGGCCTTGTCCTCACCGAGGCCTTGTCCCCACTGAGGCCTTGTCCCCCACCGAGGCCTTGTCCCCCCACCGAGGCCTTGTCCCCACCCGAGGCCTTGTCCCCCACCGAGGCCCGTCCCCCACCGAGGCCTTGTCCCCACTGAGGCCTTGTCCCCCACCGAGGCCTTGTCCCCCACCAGCCGCCCCCACTGAGGCCTTGTCCCCACTGAGGCCTTGTCCCCCACCGAGGCCTTGTCCCCCACCGAGGCCTTGTCCCCCACCGAGGCCTTGTCCCCCACCGAGGCCTTGTCCCCACCGAGGCCTTGCCCCCACCGAGGCCTTGTCCCACCGAGGCCTTGTCCCCCACTGAGGCCTTGTCCCCCACTGAGGCCTTGTCCCCACCGAGGCCTTGTCCCCCCCACCGAGGCCTTGTCCCCCACCGAGGCCTTGTCCCCACCGAGGCCTTGTCCCCACCACCGAGGCCTTGTCCCCCACCGAGGCCTTGTCCCCCACCGAGCAGGCTTGTCCCCACCAGGCCTTGTCCCCACCGAGGCCTTGTCCCCACCGAGGCCTTGTCCCCACCGAGGCCTTGTCCCCCCGAGGCCTGTCCCCCACGAGGCCTTGTCCCCACCGAGGCCTTGTCCCCACCGGGCCTTGTTCCCCACGAGGCCTTGTCCCCCACGAGGCCTTGTCCCCCACCGAGGCCTTGTCCCCACCGAGGCCTGTCCCCACGAGGCCTTGTCCCCCACCCACGGTCCACCGAGGCCTGTCCCCACCAGGCCTTGTCCCCACCGAGGCCTTGTCCCCCCACTGAGGCCTTGTCCCCCACCGAGGCCCTTGTCCCCACTGAGGCCTTGTCCCCCCCACCCGAGGCCTTGTCCCCCACCGAGGCCTTGTGTCCCCCACCGAGGCCTTGTCCCCCACTGAGGCCTTGTCCCCCCACCGAGGCCTTGTCCCCACCGAGGCCTGTCCCCCCACCGAGGCCTCCTTGTCCCCCACCGAGGCCTTGTCCCCCACCGAGGCCCTGTCCCCCACCGAGGCCTTGTCCCCCACCGAGGCCTTGTCCCCACGGCCTTGTCCCCCACGAGGCCTTGTCCACCACTGAGGCCTTGACCCCACCGAGGCCCTTGCCCCACCGAGGCCTTGTCCCCCACCGAGGCCTTGTCCCCACCGAGGCCTTGTCCCCCACCGAGGCCTTGTCCCCACCGAGGTCCTTGTCCCCCACCAGGCCTTGACCCCCACCGGCCTTGTCCACCACGAGGCCTTGTCCACCACCGAGGCCTTGTCCCCACCGAGGCCTTGACCCCCACTGAGGCCTTGACCCCACTGAGGGCCTTGACCCCAGCACCTGCCAGCCAAACACTGAAGAAGGTATTTAGTGTAAGCAGCAGCAGCAGTAGGTTGTTTACAGGTGTTGGAGGAAGCGTGTCAGGGAGGTCCAGTAGTGTGGTGGAGTAGGGGATGGGTTCTGGGTCCTGTTCTGAGCTGAATCACACAACACAGGCATAGCTGGGGCCGTGGTGGAATGGGAGGTGTGGTGGGTTTGGGTGGGGTGGGTGGGTGGTGGGGAGGGGTGGGGTAGGTGAGGGGGGTGGGTGAGGGGGGGGTGGGTGGGGTGGGGTGGGGTGGGAGGGGGTGGGATGGTGGTGAGGGGGTGGTGGTGGGAGGGGTGGGGTGGGGTGGGGGTGGTGTGGGGTGGTGAGGGGGGTGGGATGGTGGTAGGGGTGGGGTGGTGAGGGGTGGGATGGTGGGGTGGGGAGGGGTGGGGTGGGTGTGGAGGGGTGGTGGTGGAGGGGGTGGGGTGAGGGTGGGGTGGGGGTGGGGTGGGGTGGGGTGGGATGTGGTGGGGTGTGGTGGTGTGGTGGCCCTAGTAAGTTTAGTTAATTACAAAACTAACTGGGTTTATTTCCTGTGTATTTTAGCATTCAGTTCACCATATAATAATAATAATAATAATAATAATAATAATAATAATAATTATAATAATAATAATAATAATAATAATAATAATAACAATAATAATAATAACAATAATAATAATCATAATAATAATAATAATAACAATAACAATAATAATAATAATAATAATAATAATAATAACAATAACAATAATAATAATAATAATAATAATAATAATAATAATAATAATAATAATAATAATAATAATAATAATAACAATACTCATACATTATAATCCAGGTAATCACTTCAATCTATAACACCTGCCTACGCCTAATTACTATACCCAAGACATTACTAATTACCTTCTGATACAATAATAATCACAAGATATACAAATAATCTGTTAAAAATGGTAATAATAATTCATCCAGCGGTTCATGGTTATTAAAAATTAGTAAATGAAAACTTATCTCACAAATGAGTTAAGTTTTAATTTATAATCAGGAAAGTTAATTAGGTTCATTTTTCTTTGTGATTTATCTGGAGGACGTAACGTGTTAGTTAAGGCGAGGGTCAGGTCCTCACACACACCGGCAGCGGTAACTAACATAACATAAGACATAACAAGACATAACCTAACATAACATAACATAACCTCATACACACCAGCAGCGGTTAGGTTAGGTTTGGTTTGCTAGGTTAGGTTTGGTTTGCTAGGTTAGGTTTGTTGCATATCGTCTGTCAAAGAGGTAATATTAGCAGGTTATATTACACATTCTCAACCACATCCACCACCACCAACACTATAACCACCAACACCACCACCAACACTACAACCACCAACCACCACCAACACTACAACCACCAACCACCACTACCACAACCACCAACACCACCACCACCACCACCACAACCAATTCTAGCTCATTAAACACGTAATCAGATGGGTAGTACTTAATCAATCACAACCCACGTCTGTCTGTCTGCCTGTCTATGTGCGTGTGTGTGTGTGTGTGTGTGTGTGTGTGTGTGTGTGTGTGTGTGTGTGTGTGTGTGTGTGTGTGTGTGTGTGTGTGTGCGTGCGCGTGTGTAATAATAATAATAATAATTAACGGTTTATTGAAGAGCTTGGCAGCCAGAAGGCTGAAAATATACAGTTACATATTTGGGGAATGGGTTACGAGTTACAAATAATATACAAGTAACATATGACACAAATAAGACATATAATAACTTAGATGGGGATCAGCTCAAACTACAGTTCATTTCAACATAGTGACAGTGTAAGGAGCAGTGTTACCGAGTGAATACACTGATTTATTACATGTTATTGATAATTTTACAATGGTTGGGACTGGGCTGTTCTTATAGCGATTGGTTCAGCACGTATGGGCTGGATGCGGTTTGGTGTCGAACAGCACCTCGGACAGGGGATGTCAGGTGGTAGTAGGAGCCGGTGTCGGGGATGGTGTAGAAGCTTCTTACCAAATTTGCAGATGAGGTCGTGGTGATGGTCAGTGAGAGTCGAAAGGGTCAGTGTGTTGAGCGCTTCTTGATATGTGGAGTAGGAAGAGGAGAGAATAATTTTATGCCCTCTTTGAACTTTTCTAGGTGTTTACGTTGTGTGGCATTTAGGAGGAAGACCAGGTGGGGTTGGCATAGGTGAGCTTGGGAAGTATGAATGTTGTGTAAACACTGAGGAGCTCGTGTGAACCCGAGGGACTTGAGTCGGCGGAGCAGGTGGACGGAAACTGGAGGCTTTGACAACTTCACTGACGTGTGGTTTCCAATTTAGTTTGTTGTCTATGGTGACGCCGAGGATTGTGGAATCTACAACCTGGAGGTTTCGGACCTAGGGTATGGAAGGAGGTGGGACAATGTCGGAGGAGAGGTTGATGTGCATAACCATGGTCTTGGTATGGTTGATGGTGACTTGGTTGGTGGCCCAGTTTTGGAGACTGTTCAATAAATCCTGAAGGGCAAGAAGGGGAGCAGAATTGTTGACGCTGATCCCAATGGTGGAGTCGTCGACATATTTCCAGCGAGCAGGGTGTGTGTGTGTGTGTGTGTGTGTGCGCGCGTGCGTTTGTGTCACTCTACATCATAACTCAGTGGTGGACAAAACCAACACGCGATTAAAACCGGATATAACAGAATTGACCTTGTTAGTGAGTGATCTAATGTGATGACCTTTGTGTTTAGTTTCTGAGGGCAGGAGGACAGGTCAAAGGTTATGGTTGACTGGGTGGGTGGGTGGTTGGTGGGTGGTTGGTGGGTCAGTAGGGTGAATTTTTTTTTGGGGATTGATAGTCTTTGTTTTTTTTTGGGAATCTAATACCTGACTCCTCCCCCATAGAACTGCCAGTCCTCCCGCACCTAAACTAACCCTAATTACCATCCACATATCTGAGGGTTGGAGACCACAGCCCACCATTAAATAAGGAATAAATTACAATTGCCATAGTAACTGATAAAAGCAGTATTGTATTCAGTTCTCCTGTACGGTACATTGTCCATTAATTATCTATCTATCTTTTGTGGCGTTAATGACCTAACCAGTCACAGTAATTACCTCAGCTGGACCCGACCCCACCACCACCACCACTACTACCACCACCACCACCACCACCACCACCACCACCACCACAGCGTTTTGTAGTGTGGTAGAGGTAGTGATGGTGGTGATGGTGGTGGTGATGGTGGTAGTGGTGGTGGTAGTGGTGGTGGTGGTGGTGGTGGTAGTGGTGGTGGTGGAAAGTGGTGGTGGTGGCGACAACTCAGCCTTAGGTGTCGAACTGCGGCCGCACAGAACTAATTATACAGTGTCCACCACCACCAGTGCCACCACCATCACTACCACTACCACCACCACCACTACTACCACCCCCACTAACACCACTCCCCCACCACCACCACACTACAAAACGTGTGTGTGTGGGGGGGAGGCTAATCACACGTTCCCAATAATCAGTTTACCTCTTCACACACCTGTCAATAACCACCATTACCTGTACAGAGTTAATTAAACCTTTACCATTTCTATTAACAGGTGCTCTATTAACAGGTGTCTTATATTAACAGGTGTCTTCTATTAACAGGTGTCTTCTATTAACAGGTGTCTTCTATTAACAGGTGTCTTCTATTAACAGGTGTCTTCTGTTACGTGTCTTCTGTTAACAGGTGTCTTTATTAACAGGTGTCTTCTGTTAACAGGTGTCTTCTGTTAACAGGTGTCTTCTATTAACAGGTGTCTTCTATTAACAGGTGTCTTCTATTAACAGGTGTCTTCTATTAACAGGTGTCTTCTGTTAACAGGTGTCTCTGTTAACAGGTGTCTTCTATTAACAGGTGTCTTGTTAACAGGTGTC